TACCTTAAAATCTCCACCACTGGGGAACCCTTACGATACCTTAAAATCTCCACCACTGGCACGTCCAATGAATTCGAGAAGGGTGCGAAAAAGTAGCTATTAATAGTGGTAATGTGTGTACAAAAGCTCAGTCCTGTAGTTCAAACGATTCCTAAGATATTGGCGAAAAACTAAAAAAAAATTAAAGTTTTGACACCGAAGAGGAAAAAAATGTTTCATTTTTCAAGAGGAATTTACAGTTTTCCGTTGCGACACTTATTTAGGAACACCCTGTATAAGCGAAATTTCGAAAAACCGACAATTCTCTGTAACACTCTAGCAGTTGCGCCCCCTAGTGGTGAAGTTACAAATTTGAAAATATTTTAAATCGATTTCTTTAGGCCATATTTATTAATAGATTTTTTTACCCCATAATTGTAGCATGTCTAGTTTTCTATATACGATACTGTTAATGGATCACCCTGTATATGTGCTTTTAATCAGCAGATAAAAGAGCAACTGAAACAAGTAGGTATTGGAAAAATAATGTGTAAAAATAATAATAAAAATAACTTTCCGACATTAAATAGAGATAGAGAAATAGATATTTTACAGTAAAAACAGATGGTGCAAAAAACGTATTCTTTATGAAGAAAAAGGGATAAAAGTTGTGAAACAAAAATATTTTATATGATATACAGGGTGATTCAGAACTTATCCAAAAAAAAAAAATTCTGGATGTACAGAGGACCCTCACAAATACATTTTTGTAAAAAAAAATAAAAAAGGGCAGTTCGAAAGTGATTTAAAAATACACTTCTGCGCGGCACTGGAAACTGGTCCACTGTAAAACCTGACCTTGTACAATGCGACCGGCATGGCGGTGTGATAAAAACGGACAAAAACTTTCGCAAGGAAAGATATATGTAAATAGAATTTTATCGCACCTATTTTATATCGGGAAATTCAACTGCTTTTGCCTTTATTAATTAATAAAATTAATTTGTGTTTAAATAATAAAATCATTTGACATACCCGATGTTACAACAACAATTGTTCAAAATTTTATCCACCAATGTGTCAACATGTAAACACATTTGGGTCCGTCTTACTCAGTTTCTAGCAACTAACACAAATGTTGTCTTGCTTCACCATAACACAAATGCTTCATCATAAATTAAAACGATATCCATCAACTCTGAGTTGCTATACACGCAAACCATTTTTGACACTAACTACTCACTTTTGACACTAACTACTAAAAAACTATTGTAAACTCCACAGATAACAGGTAAATACTATTGCAACGACAATTGCAAAATCCGTTTTCAGTATTGAGAGTCGTTGAGGCCACATGGCTCTCCACGCGCATTGCGAATGACGCTAGAGACTACAGTTGTCCAGCTATGTAGTGGTTGAATGAACTATAACTTCAATAATTTTTCTCTTGGAAACTATAAGGATTTTACATTTTTTTTACGATATTGACTCCATTTCTCATGCCGCATCTATTCCCAATTTTTTTTGGATAAGTTGTGAATCACCCTGTATATTATATTATTTATATTATAAATTCTATGAGCTCTAAATGAAGTTTTTCAATTTAACATTCGAACAGAAATTGTGCATTTGGCAAAAAATCATACTTGTTCTGAAAGCTAAGATGGGTTTGGATATAATTAAATCATAAACTACTAAAAACATTGTTTTAAATAGCCTCAATTTTATAATTCACTAAGGTACAACTTGAAATGACTAGATGTTTCCTACTACAAGAAGAATTAGTAAAGGCAGTATATTATACTGTCATTACTGAGAAGTAAGAGCAGGATGTTAATGGTTTCAAATTACTGTGACTAAGTTGGAATAATTGGAAGTTGCTGTTTAAACAAGACAAAACACATATTCAATTATTTATGTTATTGAAAATTAAGTACATACTAAAACCATTACTGAATTAGATAAAATTCCATTTTATATGTGTAATTTTTATATACACTATTAATACATATGTAACGCAGATTGACAGGACACTTATTAACGAATAATATTTATGACAAATGTAACATAATGTAGTGGAAAGTTATGTTTGTGCTGTATTTCTTATTTTAGCGAGTTTATTTTTGAAGGGAATATTTTTTAAGTAAATATTTGAATTGTCTAGTTTTAAGAAAAACTGAAGTATATACTAGGTGATAAGCCCAAACAAATGGTTATACTTGTGGTTATAATAAGAAATAATTTGAAAATTTGCATATGATAATGAAGTAATAATGTCAGTCAACAATAAATCTTAAATAATTGTTTAAATAATGTAAGACTAAGGAAATAATTAGCTAAATGTCAGATTTATGATATAATCCATTGTTTACCGTATACATAGAGTGCCTTTTAAAATGCAAATGAAAAAAATTAATTTATTTTGTAAGAGATGAGAGGAGTCAATTAAAAAAAATAAATTGGCTATTAGAAATGACAACATTTCCAACAATTGATGTCTGTTTAACTTAAAAAATGAAAATAAATATTGAGAAAAATAATTTATTTATTTTAACAAAAATCCCCTATTAAGAAATGTTAATATATAAAATATTTATAGTTCATAACTGTACATTGTATGTATTTTTTTGCAAAAAATTTTTTTTACAATCAGAATCTAAACATTATTTTTATTTTACATTATTAAGGACTTGAATTTAAATATATTTAACATACACAATACACAATCCTAAATCATTATCATTCACATGTTTATTAAAATAATTTCATTTTGTGTTCAAGGACTTCCCAGAAGCTCTAGTGAATACCCCTTCACAAGCATTTTGATAAGATATCATTTGAGTCATTTGCTGATCTTGGATGTTTTAGAACTTTATACATTAGCAATATAATAGGCATCATGGGAATTTTTTTTTTGTTATTAGATTTTGATAGATATTGATAAGTACATTGTTAAAAAATTGTAGAAACGTGAAAAGTATTTTGAAGAAAATTTTTCCAGATTTTATGCAATAATAATAAAATTTGTAATTAGTCGTGTTAAGGAGTACTTAAAGTGAATAAAATTGAATGCATATTCCATGTTTAATAAAACTATATTAATAAAAAACTTCCTCCTAAATAAACTAATCGAAAAAATTTAAAAAACTAGGAAAATCAATTAATATTAAAATAAAAGTAGAATAACACTACGCTGCAAATGACAATAATGACATTACCGGCTATCATATTTACAAGGATCAACATAACATTTTGTTTTTGTCGACTACTGAACTCAAAGTTTTAAATCCACGACACTGCTATGCAAACCGGAACATACAGACTGCCAAATAATGCCATTTTTCTCAAGAATGGTTTTCAGTAGGCGATCTTCTCAAGAGACAATTTTTTTTTAATGAAATTACCTTTTCAATGTATTGAAATTTAAAAATTTTAAAAAAATACTATCACTGTAAAAGTTTCGATCGCTAAAAGTGGGAAGTAACTGAAGAAAACTACCACCCAGTACATCGATTTGATTGAAGCTTTAAGAAATAATACGCCATAATAGTCCAAATAAATATGCCAAATTTTAACGCTATCGGCAAAAGGGTTATGAAGTAAACCAAAAATTTGTTATTTAACTTTTTTTTCGTAAATCGTCTTTATTTATCATCGAGATTATGCAGTCAAACATTGTCGGTGAAATTTGCGGACACCCTGTATTTTTCAACTTCTAATCTTTCAAAATAATATTAAGGAAAAAAGTAAGTGTTCACTTCCAGTAGAATAAATAGACTCAAAAAATTCAATGGGTTCAAATCCGGAGAACGTAGAGGCTATGTTATAAGACATCTATATCGTAGCCATTTATGTGGTTATTGTTAATCTACCCACCCATATTGTACACATAATATAATTCGAATATTGTTGCTCTGAAACACAAAGTTAAAGTAATAGTTCTTAATATACATAATTTCTTTTTTATATACTTTTTAATACTATTTTTAACAAATTGCATAAAAAATGTTGCTGTACTGAGCTATTTGTCATTATTGCCTTTGCATTGCTATAAATAAAAAATAACGGTATAATAAAGAGATCTCTTTTGGTTAAAAAATGTGTAAATATTGAGAATTCAATTCAAATTCAAATTATTTTCTCTGATATAAAAGCCACAAGATGAAATAGATTAGAAACATGCCATATCTATGCCAATAAATTATTTTTTAGTTATACACTTTTATTAATATGTGCAGTTTAATGGCCCTATTACTTCTTCAAAAAATAAAAATATATTTTTTTTGTATTGAAGTTATCGCCTTTATTTTTAAATTCAATGCCCTGTAATTTCTAAATCGTTAATAATTGGACAAAGATTTGTAAGACAAAGAGCCCCGCACTTTTCTTATGGGAAGTGGGTTTTGGCCAATTTTTTTGAAGCTTCGCAGGTTGATAGTTCTTAACATGTAGATCAAAAGTCTCAATGGGCACAAAGCCTCAAATCCACCCCTCCCCCCCCAAAAAACTGCCTCCAAGTAGCGGGGGCGATTTAACTGATTTAGCATGTAAAACAATTTATTTTTTTAATCAACCCAACAACGACCCCAAACAACCACATTTTTGATTATCAAACTGCCCCACTTGACCCCGCCCCTCACATCAGCTTTGGTGGCATTTTAAAGCTAAAACATTGATTTTTCGAAAAAACAAGAATAGTTTTTTTTAGATTTCATTGAAATAAACAACTTTTATTTGAAACTTTTTTCCATAAAACGACAAGTAAACTCCCCGCTACTTGGAGGCAGTTTTTGGGGGGGAAGGGGTGGATTTGAGGCTTTGTGCCCATTGAGATTTTTGATCCATATGTTAAAAACTATCAACCTGAGAAGTTTCAAAAAAAATTGGCCGAAACTCACTTCCCATAAGAAAAGTGCGGGGTCCTTTGCATAATTTTTTATGCTCTCTCTTTTGAAATTTTGATACTGTGAATTATGCTGTATATAAATTTTCATTAATATATCCAATAACTCTGTTTTCAGGATCTCATAAAGCAGGTATTTGAGGGTTCTTGTGCTTTGCTGCATGTCAAACCTGTTGTTAAGGAATGTGACAAAATCGCCGATGAATTCATTCCTGAGCTTATTGACACATTAGCGTCCGAAATGAACCCACAAGTTGTATGTTCTGTAGCTGGTTTATGTAATAATGAACGAGTTCATAGAATGCTCGAAGAAGCTGGAGAAAAGATAGTCCCTATGGTTAAAAAACCAGACTCGTGCGATGGCTGCCATACTGTTGTCGATTTGATTGAGGACAAGTTCAATAAGATGTCTAGAGATGAGGTTCTACAAAAATTGTTAGAGGTGTGAAAAAATAATAGACATGTTTAATTTTTATATAATAATAATATGTTTTAGGTTTGCGGGAAGTTTGGAAGCTTCTCTGATGGATGCAGCAATATCGTAGTGACATATTTTACTGAAATTTACAACAACCTTCAAGAAAATCTAAATTCGAACGAAGTTTGCCTTTTATCAGGGGAATGCAGTGCCCAATTCCACAAACATGCCAATGTTGAAATAACACCAATATCTCATATTGGATATGTTCCAGTAGAGTAAGTATATAAAATGAATGTCAATGTCCTTTATGATTTGTTTGATTTGTATGTGTACAAAGCTATTTATTTGTACCAAGCTTTGTAAGATAATATTACTGGGAAAGTTAGTATTAATTGTTTTTACTGTCCTAAATGAAATTTGAAGAATCATTAAACTGCTTAATTAATCCAATAAGTCATATTTCACCATTCTGTACTTAACAACCAGTTAAGATTTTTAACAGTTGAATAGGATTTTCCTAAAATATCTTAAAAATGTTAATATTTTTTTATAGTTGGTAAAAAAACATACTTCTCTGGCGTATTCATTTTTCATTTAATGTTTTCGCATCATCTACCTATTGTGGATTCAAATGCGGATTACAATTCAATAAATAAAATGGAATGTCAACAACTGCTCATTTGTTAACTTTATTCTTAGTAAGATTATTCAACTATGAGGGTTGCTTTTTACATTTCGGGAATGAATGATCAGGGTGTTGTCATCTGACAATCGACGTCCCTATCGTAAAGTTTGACTTTTTGTTGGTGTGCCTACTCATAACGTTATGACATACAGGCGTTATTTGTGTTGTTTACAATGACTAGAAAAATTCATCTCGGCCAAAAATTAGAATTAAGTCCTGAACATTTTGTGCAATTATTTTTTTATAACTTTCGACGTGAATTATCTCAACAGTGCATCGATGAACTTAATTCGACTTTTGGAGATGGATTCCACATAATTTGAGGCTCGTGTCAACTAACTGTACGGGTCTTTCAAGATGAGCTGGATCCAACAAAAATTGTTCTGGCACAATGCACTTGTAAGTAAATGGTCTCCTGTTTTTCTGGAAAAACTGGACATGTGGTAACCGTACCCTTAGTGTAACGTCGGACAGTCAATCCTGAATGGTAGACATCCATTTGCTTGCCAGAAGACTTCGGAAAAATAAGGAAAACCAACCACCGAAGACTTATCATTCTCTACCAGAACAATGCAAACTCCCACACATTGGCTCAAACGAGACTTTGAGAACTGAAAAAGTTGATTGGTGAGTCATCCGCCGTACAGCCCTGATTTGCCACCCAATGACTTTTTTATTCACGCACATCAAAAATAAATTACGGACCCAACATTTTTCGACGCCTGAAGAAGCAGTTTTGAAGGTACCTCAATTGGAATCGAAAAAGTGCTTTGAAAATTGGTTCAAAGGCATGCAAAAGTGTATTATCTACTCTTCATGGAGAATATTTTGAAAAACAATAAAATCATATACGGTGATTAATTTCTTTTTTTTGTTCTCTATTCTCGAAATATAAAAGGCAATCCTCATATTTGAGCTTTTATCTTCTTTTATTTTATGGTATTAGCAAACTTTGAGCTACTGTACAAAAACTCGCAAGCACAAAAGACAAATTATATTTTATGTTATTCAAATTTTAAGTCGACAGCAAAATTTACAGGTAGTGCTTTTTAATTTCATTAAATGTGACTTTCTTGTCTTTATGGCAACACTTGCATTTAAAAACCTATAATGAAGTAATTTGAATTAACGTTAGGAACAAAAAGTTTGAATAATACTCCTGTAACTCCGTTTTTTGTATAGCAGTTCAGGAACGTGATTTTAAGCTATAATCCAATGGCATTGATGTTGGACAAGAAAATTTAATTACAGTTTTTGAATGCACATTACTTGACAGTCAGATAACATAGCCACACACAAAAAAAGTTGTCTGTACTTTTCATGTGACATATGTTATCTGTAGTATTTTTGCCTCCTGATCACGAATCTAGTGTCTGAATTGAGCTGTCACATCACAGGAATTTCCTAACCTCAAAAAACAGGTCAAAATAGCAAAAATTCACGAAAAATGCTAGGAAAAATACAAATTTTTTTTTTTCTATATTCAAATGTTCATTTATATGGATTTCTATCCTAAAAAACAGGTCAATTATGGTCATATATCATGAATATTCAAAAAATAACAGATTCGCGCCAAATTTGGTATACAGGGGTTTTCGGGATCACTGATCACGAATCCGAGATCAGATTTACAAAATTCGTTTCTAAAAATTTAATCAACTACTTATGTACTTTAAGAAGGCTATACAGTAAACAAAAATATTACAAAATGATTTTGCAATTCTGACCTTGAACTTGTAATCAGCAACCCCGAAAGGGCCGTATACCAAATTTGACACGAATGTATTATTATTTGAAAATTTTGTCAGCCATCTTGGATCCGCCATCTTGAATTATGCAAAATTGACCTTGGATACGTGCTCAGGGACCCCGAAAACCCTCGTATACCAAATTTGGCGCGAATGTTATTTTTTGAAAATTTGTTCGATCATCTTGGATCAGCTATCTTGAATTTTGCAAAATTCACCTCGGATCCGTGATCAGCGATCCCGAAAACTCCCGTATACCAAATTTAGCGTGAATGGGTTATTTTTTGAAAATTTTGTCGGCCATCTTGGATCCGCCATTTTGAATTTTACAAAATCGACCTCGGATCCGTGATCAGCGACCCCGAAAACCCCCGTATACCAAATTTGGCGCGAATCTTATTTTTTGAAAATTTGTAATATCTGACCGTTTTTTTAAGGTTAGAAAAAGAATTATCAATTCTGACCGCGGATTCACGTTCGGCGGGGTCTTAACCGTATAAATGAACTTTTGAATATAAAAAAAAATACAGAAGTACTGACAACTTTTTTTGTGTGGCTGTGTAATTTTTTTGAACAAGAGTAATCAAATATTTATTTTACAAAATACCAATTAGAAAAAATCTTACATTTAAAAGCTTTTTTCACCATCAAAACGGGAATGTGTCATCATAGATATATAGTGGAATTCAATTATAAAAACATTCCAAGTGGTGAAGCTGTGTCATACTAAAAGAATCATGTAATAAGCAAACTGAAGATTTATACAGGGTTATTCAAAAGTCCCGGTACGGCAGAAAAACTTCAGAAAAAAACAGTTTGGGAAATTTTACGTCCAAATATGGTCTTGACCCTAATTTTGACAATGACCTTGCTTTCCAAATCCGCAACAAAAAATAGGAGTTCCCATTTAAAAAACTTAACTTGACCTTCAAATGACCTTGAAAGTCAGAGTCAAGGTCAAATCCAAGGTCACCATCAGATAACCAGGGAAATCCTTACACTTTCATCGTGAAACTTTTTTCTCAAAATGCATTCTTCGAAAGTTTTTCTGCCGTACCGGGACTTTTGGATAACCCTGTATATGTTGGAGTGTGTAGTTGGGTCATTGAAAACAGAATTGCAATAGCCAAAATCCACTGAATAATTAAAAAATTTTATCTTACATTTGACTGACAGCCACTGAAAATATAACACCATTTTCAGAATTTGAATCGTCTTTTATTGCACCACCCATATATAAAGCAGAAAAAAAAAGTCATCTGCATCTGTTCCATACCAGATTTCCTTTTCTTGGGTATTTGATTCTGTTTACTATTTATTATACCTTTTAAATTAGCAAAATTGGAGACAGATAATATAAACATTGGGTTGTTACGTTTCTATCGTTATACAGGGTCTGTACAATGCAGCACCAGGTATGTTATAGTATGGCTCAAAATAAGTCAATCCTAAAAAAACCCTGGATACAAAATTTCACAAGATTCGCCAGAAGTAATCGAAAGATATTATAAAGAAATTGTTATTTATTTTTTCAATTTGACACCCTGTAGCTCCATTATTATCAATTTATGAACTAAAGCAACTTTAGTTAAATCGACTTATTTAGAGACATACTATATCTGGTGGAGTGTTGTACAGGCCCTTTAGAGACGCCCTGTATAATAAAAAAGTATTGTTAACAAGTTGTCTAAATTTGACAGTGAAAAAAATTACTTAGACTTTAATTAAATATTAATCAATATTTTTTTTAGTGATGAAAAAGATGATTTACCATGCGAACTCTGTGAGCAGTTGGTCACTCATTTGAAGGATCTTTTAATAACTAATACCACAGAAGACGAATTCAAAACAGTCCTGGAGGGACTCTGCAAGCAAACCAGACAATTCTCCCAAGAATGTACTAGTTTAGTTGATCAGTATTATGTCGAAGTTTACAGTTTACTGGTAAATGAACTGAATTCAACAGCTGTATGCAAAATCATCGGAATCTGTAAAGATTCTAATAGACAGGTAAATAGTAGTAAATACATATTTATATTTAACTAAATGTACCATTTACTTTAGTTTTTCTTTTATTTATACAGTACGAACAAGAAATACCATGATGAATAAAAATATATACAGGCTGTTACTAATTCGCTTCTCACTACAGGGATCTCGGAAACGGTAAGAGGTACGAAGTAGCTTAAATGAGGGCAATGCTGCTTAATCAGTGAACCAACATTGTGCCTCTAAAAAATCAAGGCTAACATGATTAGTTTTCGAAATATTTGAAAAAGAAACGAAATTTTGGAAATCAGTTCTTGTTTAATTTCGGCCTTATTTGAGGTGACATTGAAAAAAGAAGAACACTTTCTCATGGCCACTTTTTGCCCTCTATCGAATGACATAATCAATTTTTATATGTAACGTTTCGTCTCTCCAGGGCCATCATCAACTTAATTTTTTTAAATACAACCCTGGAAATTTTATTACATTTTTTACAAGCCTTCATGACCCCCAATACTGTACTGCCTCAGCCCGAAACAGATTTAGACGTTTCGCCTCGAAAAATTCATCTTTGGTGTATTCGTTCCAAATTTATCCAAGTTTTTTATTTAGATTTCTTTGTTTATTGAATTATCACACATTGTAAGTGTCGTTAGACCATGTGAAATCCATCTAGATATTTAAACTGTTACTACCACACGTTACAATAAAACATTTATTTTATTAACTATTACCATCACTTGGTCATACACAAACTCGATAAGTTGTTGCGTCTAAATTAAAACATTATTACAATTTTAATTTTATTATGACAAATTAATTCTTAAAAATGCATAAGAACAACCAAAATGCCAACTGAATATTATTCTCTAAAAAATTTCAGTAATTGTTCAAAACATTTTTGTTTTGGCAAAGGTGGAAAATGAAGATCAATGTAATATTATCGGAATTTATTATATCTGTAACCGCAACTGCGAAAGAGGATGTCAGATGTATTTGTATGAATATCCTGAAAAAAATAGATCGGAATTTGTTTGAATTTTGAGCACTCGAGAAGCCTAGGAATAACTATGGACACGAGAATAAAACTCTAATAATGATATTATTTTAATGTGTGGTGGTAATAGTTTAAATAAATAAATCGATTTCACAGATTTTCAAAAGACACTTCCAGTGTACGATAATTCAGCAAACAGAAATCTAAATAAAAAATTTAGATAAATTTGAAATGAATACACTGAAGATGAATTTTTCGAGACAAAACATCTGAATTTGGTTCGGGCTGAGGCAGTACAGTATTGGAGGTCATGAAGGCTTGCAAAAAATGTATTAAAATTTCCAGGGTCGTATTTAAAAAAATTAAGTTGATGATGGTCCTGGATAGACGAAACGTTACATATAAAAATTGATTATGCCATTCGATAGAGGGCAAAAAGTGGCCATGAGAAAGTATTCTTCTTTTTTCAATATCACCTCAAATAAGACTGAAATTAAACAAAAATGGATTTCCAAAATTTCGTTTTTTTTTCAAATATTTCGAAAACTAATCATGTTAGCCTTGATTTTTTAGAGGCTTAATTTTGGTCTCTGATTATGCAACTTTACCCCCATTTAAGCTACTTCGTACCTCTTACCGTTTCCGAGATCCCTGTAGTGAGAAGCGAATTTGTAACAGTCTGTAGAGGCATATGTTAGAAAATTTCGAGGTGTAGCAGGATGATAAAATAAAAAAGAAATATTTCAAAAGTTAGATAAAAATATTTCACATAATTTATTAAGAAAGTATTTGAAGTAAAATTTTATAACCATACTGGGTGTTTCATAATGATGTGCAAATATTTTAAGGAGGTGTTTAGAAAGTAATTTTAGGGGGGGAGCTTCCAATACATTTTTCAATTTGAGCCCTCCCTGAGAAAATATTCAAATCTCAAAATGGCCCAAAAAATTGGCTTTTATTTTTTTTTATTCATATGTGCTTAGCTTTTCCTATTGATAAAAAAGAATTTTTGCAAAAAGCAGGACAAAAATGACGATCATTTTTGGTAACTATTATACTAATTACGTGTACCTAATCGTCAAGGAAAAATAATTACTTTTTTTGCTCCTAAACCATTAAGTATACGAAAAAACGGGAAGAGTAAATAAAGTTTCTAAATGAAATAATAAAAGTGGTGAGAGAAATAAAACCAAGGGGTGCTAATTTCTTTCATTCAGACATAAACCAGAAAAAAAAGACTAGCAAAAAAATACTATTCAACTAGTTATTAAAAATTCAAATATATGTTTAATCGTTTTCATGAAAAAAATAAAAGCAAATTTTTTCGGCCATTTTGAAATTTGAATATTTTCTCAGGGCGGGTTCAAATAAAAAAATATATATTCGAAGTACCCCCCCTAAAATTACTTTCTAAACACTTCCTTAAAATCCTTGCACATCCCTAAAAAAATCTCTTCGAGAACAGAAAGAATTTTAATGGAAGTTACGAAATAAAAAAATTGAAATAAAGATAACCTTCTTCAGAAAAGGATCACATATGCAGTCTGACTATTAAGTTTTAAGACTCATTTTATTGTGGCGCTATCTATGTGCAAACACGAACAAAATTTCATCAGTGTACCTGTATCAACCACAAAGATGTAATGTTTTGCGTGAAGTAAGTTTTTGATAGTTGTCAATGCACATTGAACACGTCCAATTCTTGTGGTTCAGGAGGTTTTGTGATGGCCCAAACAACGTGCAGGACGACGAGTAAAAGGACATTCCCCCACGAGTCGAACGAACGCAAACATGGAAGCTGTGCACTCTGCGCTGAAGTCTGATCGTTGATCAATTAATTGTACACGGTCTCCCAACAGTCTGATGGTTGATCGATGATCAGACTCGTTCGTTCAACTTGTGGGTGGATGCTCCATTCTCTCAAGGTCGTACATGCTGTCTCAGCCATCACGAAAGCTCCTAAACCACAGGAACACAGTTGGATGTTATACACAATCAGTTGATACGTTTCTGTGGATGTTTTACCAGGTTTAAAACTGAACTTGATTGCTGTACGCTGTTCAATAAACCTTTCCATGACAACTGTTAAAAACTGACTTCATACAAAATGTTATAACTTCGTGGTAGATACGTATATACTGATGAAATTTTGTTCAGTAGCTTGGAAGGCTTCTCACTATGTAATTCCGTAGACTGCACACAGATAGCGCCATGCACTTTGCCAAAATAAAACCAATAGCCGGGACTGTGTATATATGCAAATTTTTTTCTATAATCAACTAATCAATACAAACAGGCTTAATTTTCATAAAATTATCACATTTTTTAATGTTATAGTACAGTCTTCATAAATGATTACAAACCACATGACCAGTGATTTTGTTTGGAACTGTAATTTTACTTCCTTCACATTGGCAATTCAATTCCAGTAAATTTAAAAATTATTACAACAGTAGGATCAATATTATATTAAAACGCATTCTGTTTCACTAGCTGATGATTGGTGTAATTTTTCACAAGATTTTATTCAACCAATCAGTGATCGCATTATCTCGAGTAAAGACATAACAGTTTGTCCTTCATTTTAAACGCATCATTAATATTGGTGATGCCAAGCTTTAGGGATTTTTAATTAATAGTTGCCTATTGGTTGCCTAAGGTCGAAGGTCACGTGGCTTGTAATCATTTATGAAGACTGTATCGTAAAGCTGAAAAAATTAAATGTTTGTATCAAATTAAAATTATAAATAAAATTTAATTTCGTAGTAAATAAAAAGATACCTAATCGTATCTATCAGTTAATTATGCAAAAAAATTTACATATACAGGGTGTTCCACCTAAGAGGGATTCTTCTGTAACTCTGCAACTGTAAAATTTATTTAAAAAAATGGTTTTAATAAAAGTTGGACCATGTAAAGAAAATATTTTTAGCTTTACAGGGTTTTCCATTTCTTGTGGGCGCTACATAATTTTGTTATTTTAAATGGAACACCCTTTATATTACTGCGTTTTTTTAATTCCTTGGTTAATATTAGGTAGAGTTTATTAAATGTACATGGTGTTTAAAACACCATGTACATTTTTCGAAACAGTTTTTGAGGTAGTGTTTTTGAAAAAAAAAAACACGATTTCAGCTCTCTAAATGAGGCTAGATATAGAGTCCTAAATCGTAAGAGTTAGAAACCTGCAGTTTTCACAGTTCGTTTTGACATAAATTACTCCATCTTGTCATCTGTGAGCAAAACATGTACGTTATTCAGACCCGGAAATACAGAGACCTACATTTAATAATCTTACGAGTTGAAAAACTTTTTTTTTGGAGTTACCCATATTAACCCTTTCACTGCTCCAGACAAATTAATTCGCTTGAATAGTTAAATGAGATCAGGCTGCTCAAACCATATATATTTGCAACCGTGCGCATTAGTGACTCGGTTGTTGCAATTGGTATAGGAAATTTTTGCAGGCGAAGCTTATAGCGATTGTGGCAATTATTTTTATGGAAGGATGTACTGGTAATAATGCCAAGATTGTTCATCTCTTTTCCAGTTTCTATTTAGTACGGTTGTGGATATATTAAAATAAAATCCTAAAAATATCTAGAAAATTGAAAGACAAAGTAATTTTAGCGAGGAGCGATAGCGGCGACGAGTTTGAGATTGAGGAGCGTACCGAGTAATGGATGCTTTATAATAAAATATTAGCTTTGTTCGCGGAGCCGTTCAAACTAGTTCGGGATCAGTCAGAAGTAATCACTTAACTACTTTTATGCTAAGCTTGTGATGGGAAATAGCACAGAAAGTTGGCCTTAAAGACGTCCAGATATTACAAGTTGCGACTTCTTTTTATGGGAATTTATAAAAAGCAAAATTTACGTTACACCACCAACTACCGCGGAAAATATGTGGCAGCATATTACAGCAGCATTTCAAGAAATTATGCTAGACATGCTGTGTGTGATTGTTGCTGTAGATTAATTAAAACGAATATCGTATTGTGTCACCAGATATTTTATTTTAGAAATCGACCTTCCTCTATTACAGTCAAGTTAACACTGGCGTTCCGAGCTCGCACTCTCATACATCACATGTTACATGCGTCACATAGAGGGGCTGTACAAGCACAAAAAAACATGAACCGAACATGCTGACCAATATTGAACAGTCTTTTAAAAACAATTCGTTTGTGTATTAATGAAAATGGAGGACACTTTGAGCAATAAATAAATCAGCGATTTTAGTATTCTTCTCCTTGTTGTGTTCCAAGTTTCAGTTTGTTTCAATTTGCGTTTTGTTTTAGTTGTTATTAGTGATTTACATTTGTTTGTCAAACCCAGTCAGTCAGTCCTAGGCCTGATAAAATGTGGGAGAAAAGTGGTCTATTTATTCGGACTTTAGAAAAGAACCTGATTATTTTGGAAAACTGTTAAGTATAAGTATGGACAACCTTATATCAGTCAAAAGGGTATTCAATTTTGCATTCACCCATGACAATTAATATGGGTCTTTCCGTTTGAAAAAAAAAAAAAAAAATCAACTCGTAAGATTATTAAATGTAGGTCTCAGTATTTCCGAGTCTAAATAACGTACACATTTTGCTCACAGATGATAAGATAGAGTAATTTATGACAAAATGAACTATGAAAACTGCAGATTTCTAAGTCTTACGGTTTAGACCAGGGGTCGGCAAGTAATTTTAGATGGGGTCCGGATACTTTTGAAAATTTTTAACAAGGTCTAGAAAAAAATTAATATTTGTTATTTTTTTATTTTAATTTGGACTCAAATTTAATCTGCTTACTAACCATTAAGAACTCGCACACTAACATAATTGTAAAATACTAGAAAAAATGATAAGATTGGCACTTAAACGTAAACAATATTTTTTAAATTATTTATTTGAGTAATTTATACTTTCAAAAAATTTTTGGCAGTCCAGTATTTTACCTTGCTCGGTCCGGACCTGGACCGCGGTCTGCCAGTTGCCGACCCTTGGTTTAGACGTTATCTAGCCTCATTTAGAGAGCTGAAAACATAATTTTTTTCAAAAACAACTGATTGTCTTGAAAACGGTAAGTTTTAAACTGCATGTACATTTAATAAACTCTACCTAATATTAACCAAGGAATTGAAAAACGCAGTAATATACATGGTGTTCCATTTAAGTTAACAAAGTTATGTAACGCCCACGCGAAATGGAACACCCTGTAAAGCTAATAATATTTTCATTACATGGTACACATGATACCAGGCAACTTTTATTAAAACAATTTTTTTATAAATTTTATAGTTGCAGAGTTACAGAAGTTGCAGAGTTACAGAAGAACCTTTTTTGAATTTTCAGGGGAGGCTACCTTTTTCAATTTTTATTTTTTAAAGTTTGTTCAAAATTTTTTTTAAAATCATGTAAAAAATGGCGTTACTTTAATTTTCGCTCACTGCCACTGTTGGAAGGACTTTCAAAATAGAAAAAGCATTTATATTTGTCATACTTCATGAAATCCACGGATGTAACACCCTTATTCATTTGCCAACCAAAATTTATATAAAAACGCCCTTATTATTGAAGTACTGCTTATCCTGAAAATATCAGGAAAGAATTTGGGACCCCCTTGTATCTGTTTTAATTTTTTTAAGGAGTCCTTTATCATTTCCCCACTTCTACCTGCTGAAACTGTCGACGAAGCTCTCAGGATCACTCCAGCAACAAACAAACCTTTAGCACGTGTCAGCCTGCAAAAAGACACATCAGTAAAAATTATTTCCCCATCAGAACAGGAGCAACTTCAGCAAGAACAACTACCTATCGATCTTCTTGTACCGCCACACACACAAGTCCTGTATAATACCGAAATTTGCGTATTCTGTGAATATTTCCTGCACTACGTCCAACTGGCCATCACGGACCCAACAACTGAAGTGAGAATATTACTGGTTTTATTTTTTTATATTTGCTTGACGTTTTACTTTTTTAGGAGGAAATTAAAGAAGTTATCGACAAAGCATGCGCTACGCTGCCCAGTTCTGTTAATAATACTTGCATTGACTTTGTGAACACTTACGAGCCAGCACTAGTAGCCATCCTCGCCCAAGAAATTGATCCTTCTCGGGTCTGCCCGTTGATCAAAGCATGCCCGTCAGGGCAATCTAAAGATGTGGAAATATTTATGCAGGCAAAAGGAGGTTCCAACTGCCCTCTTTGCCTGTTTGCCGTTACTAAATTGGAGACTATGGTCAAGGATAAGAAATCCGTGGTAAGCTGATACTTTATTATTGTTTCGTGGCTGTCTTTGATATTATTTTTTTATGCAGTGAAATCAAGATTACAATTTTCCTTTTACCTAAATGTGTGGCTGTGTTTGAAATTATTTGTAAAAATAAATCGTACTTTTTTATGATCGAATTTTATTCTATGAAAAAATTATTAAAAAAATATATATATTTTTGTGCGTTTAAAAAATTGTGTAATTTAAAAAATGCAGGAAAACATCAAATCCGCTCTCAACAAACTTTGCACTCATTTGCCAAGTGACGACTTAACAGAGGAATGCGAAGATTTCGTTTCCACGTATACTGATGAATTGGTAGAAATGTTGGTAGCTGATTTAAAACCAGAAGAAATTTGTGTCTATCTCAAACTTTGCTCGGATGATAAGCCTGCTAGTACTCTTCCACCATATGTAGACTATTCTGTAGAAAGCCCCGTGTTTATTGGAGATGTCGGTAAGTTTTTTAATTTCTATGAAAATATATAAATTTTCATAAATCTAAAGATAAATGGATAGAGCTAATTTTGATAAAATAGTATATTTTCTCTAAATATTTTCCAAAACATAGTAACTGTCCCCATCTAGGCAAAACAATTGTTGAAGTAATTATCCCACTTCTGATTGGTTAATATATTATAAAATATGAAAATGCATGGTGTCCTGAATTAAACACATCAGAATAAAAAAAGAAGTTTGTACAAATATGTAGAATGTTTCGTTTTTGAAATAAAAAAAAAAACAGTTATTTAAATACCTCTTAGAATATTTGACGTAGATTGATAAATCTTGGGGTAACGACTCGACTAATGATGGGCAAAAATTTGCCGAGTTGCTACACAAATCTGTCAGTCATTAGCGGAACCTTAACTTAAGAATCCCAGAGTTTCGATGCCACTGAATATTTTTGGAATTGGGGAAGCCATTTAATTCTGGTAGGTCTTTTTAGCAAAAAAGGTGTCTTTTATTTTATTCCAGAAACAGCCTATTTTGATAACTTTTTTTAATATTTTGACGACAAGGTACTGCAAGGCTTCCGGTTTGTTTATTTTTTATAAAATATTTGTCACATAATGTCCGAATGCAGCGACCTACTGTAGAATACTAATCAACATATTCTTCGATATACTGATGATACTGCTTTAATAAACCATAATTCCAGTCTAAATCTAAGCAGAGAAAGGCTATTGGTGCAATAATGGCATATTAAAAGTCAGTCCAACTAAATGAAATATTTTTTATTTAGGATGTTCTATTCACAGTATTTTACCCGTCTGTCCCTCTGTTGGCATATCAGGTGTCAACTTGCACATTCCAATTGTGTAAACAATGATCAAGTATATGCGGCTCTGAGACTACCGGCGATCTGTATCAGACATGCAAATCTGAACTTCACATCATGCAATAGTTTCAATTTTATACATATCATTTGTGGATTAATTTTGTTCCTTTTTTATGTAGTTCGGGATTAATTTAATGTGTCTAGCATCTATTCAGCTGAGGAAGTGATTGAATTAGAAAAAAGAGTAAAAACATATTTTAAATGTGTCCCTGTCTGCTATGATCTGTCTGTTTACAATTCTTTACTTCATCGGAATCTGTAAAGTGACCTTGGTATAATTCACTTAAATGATGTAATGTCAGAAGTCAATGACACGAAAGATTCATAAACTAAACATAGTGCTTAAAGTGATGACTTTTTATTACAGACTTGAAATTATTTTTTATAAAACAGTAAAAATAATTGTTTTAAAATTAACTAATATTTAATGAATTGCACAAAAATTATAAAAATTTTCAAAATACCAGACATTTGTGTGTTATTTAGTCTGCATTGATATCAAAACAATATGAAGACTTTAAAATAACATGTCGCAGAGTCATACATATGTGATGCAACTCCGGTTTGGGTGTTGTTCAGTGGTGAGTGATACATGAGTTTAAGGGGTTACACCACCGTAGAATTTTCAAAAAATGTTTTTTTTTTCTTAGTTTGAACTTTCTAGAATATGAGGCAAAAGATTTTGTACATGGAAAACATTTTTTTTGTTTAATTTTGCACTTTTCCTGGAGCGTGTCGGGCGTCTCTCATATGGTTACTTGCTCGGAAGGTACCGCGTGCCTTCTTACCTATTGATTTATAACTTCTCTAATACACTCATAGATGTCGTTAGGGAGTATGCGCGTACAATTTAAGCAAAATTTTCAAACAAAAGTACGTTAGTGTAGCGTCAGTGCACGTTCATGTCTAAAACTCATTTTAAAATTTTAAACACGTTTTTCTAGAAACATGCTTTTTCAAAATGGCATGCACCATAACTCCAACAATTTTCAATATTTTCTTTTGAAATTTTAACCACATTTAAAACAACATTTTATAGAGGAACACGTACGTATTTTTCGATAAGTTAATTTAAACAATTGTTATAAACAAATAACTGTTCTTTTTTTCATCAAAACTTTAACGTTTTACTTCAAACACTTGCAAATTTTACAGAAAACAATATTTTTACAATCCCGTACGTGTTTCTCTAGCTATTCTCATGTAGATTAAGAACAAATTTTGTTTTTGTTCCACCTTGAAATTTGCACTAGTTCCAGTGCGTGCTGCGGAATGCCTCAACGGCAACATGCTTCAGGAGAATGGCTCCAGTGCCGCAATTTTGAAATATTTTTTAATGAAAAAATTGTTCTGTACACATAATACATGCCTAATATCATACTTGAACAGTTTTTTTCTATTACCTTTCCTTCTATTAAAAAAAAATTGTCAAAACCACGCTTTTTTTAGGCCGTTACAGTGGTGTAACCCCTTAAGTGCAGTTTAAAAAATTAATTATAACCACTATTTGATTTAAAAAATAATTTTAAATTAATATTCAGGATAATACGTATTATTTCCTTAAAAATACTGATTCCCAGTTAAAATTACACCCTGTATATAGGGACTTTTTGTTCGAAATACCGTTGCAATCATCAGAAATTTAATTTTTATAAATTTCTCCATATTTAAGAAAAACAAAAACTAAGTTTTTTGTGTTTTCTGCCGCTGTTTGAAGGGCCATACATTTTCAAGAAGGGGTATAGAGATTTTTCTGCACTTAGTTGTTACTATATATTTTTTTTAAACTTGAACACGCCGTCTTGAAAATCAGTAGCTTTAAACCCTTGATCCATTAAGGTTTTTGATCTATAATGACCCGAAGAACAACCCCCTAAAGTTGACCTATTGGAAAAAATACTCTGTATACTAATTTATTATATGTTGTTACAAAAAAACATTTCCTCAATGTCAATTATTAAAATATTTTTCAGAAACGAATAATATACCTGACGATACCATCAACGGTAAACAAATTAGTAGCAAATTAGAGGCACCTACAACTAGTCCTCAGTGTGTTATATGTGAATTTGTAATGAAAGAAATCGACGATCAACTCAAAGATAAAAAGACAGATGTAAGAAATACATTTTTTTAAATTCATTTTCTGATAGCTTTTGGTTTTCTGCATTGTAGGATGAAATTAAAAATGTTGTCTATGACATCTGCAACGTTATGCCAAGATCCGTTAAAACGGACTGCAATAACTTCGTCAAACAGTATGCGGATACAGTAATTCAGTTATTGATCCAGGCCTTAGAACCAAGCGAAATTTGCTCGATGATGAAGTTGTGCTCTAATCAGTTAGAAACTATGACAGGTAACACACGATTGTCAAGTATAATTTTTTTTTATAAAAAAATATTTTTTAGATGAAATACTTGATTGTCCTCTGTGTCATTTAGCTGTCGAAGCTATGGACAAAATTTTGAGTAACCCCAAAATCGACCATGACGTTGAACATGTGCTTGAAAAAACTTGCCGTGGAATACCAAAACACTACAGAAATAAGGTACGTTATAAATCACTGTTTCAGATTTTTTTATTCAGTAACAAATCAAATTTTCATTTGAAATAATTTCAAATGTTTATTACTGGTATATTGCGCTTATAATTTTGGGTTTTTTATTTTTTATACAATTTTAATCTCGTCAACTGTCTTATGTAAAACTTACCCCTTTCAGATTTTTTTTTTTTAATATACAGGATGTTTCAAAATAAGCTGACATTTGCTATCATTTTTATTACTGGCGATACTGACTGCAGCTCCAATAATAATAAAGTTAGCAATTTTGTTGGATTAATTTGCAACGTCCGGTATATGGTAAGTAACAATATTGCTTTCCAACTTATACACATATTTGACCCTCATTCTTCAGTATTTCTGAAATGGTGGAATTTTAGAAGATACTTAATATAAAACGCATTGTATTATTCCCTCTTCCTTTATTAAGAATTTGATGGCTGGTTGTGTTTAGCAGCTTGCTTTCTGAATTAAACCTGATAAAAATTGAGTAGCTGCTTTTAAGAATTGTATACATTATTGTAAATGTAATGTGTTTTTGTTTAGTTAAATTTGTGAACCATAGATTTTGTGTTGTTTTATTTTTGTGGCATAGTGAGAGAACTGTAATAAAAATTTTACTATAAACCTCTAAGGTACTGTATCGTATTTATGTAGGTTAGTTGTCTATCTTCTGTCATAGCCCCACGATGGGCGCGATGTCTCGGATTTTGCTCAGTCTGGTTAGCTCTCGGTGTAGTTGACCTACTCTCAGCATATTGAGAGGGTCGTAAACCCTCATAATGGATTCAGAAGGAGCGTATCTGTCTGAGTCTGTTTTAACCATTCTTTTTAAAATAGTAATAGATATGTGGACAATGCAGTTGTTTGCGATATGAGTTCTTTATAGTTCGTCAAGTATACACTGGCCAGGCAACTATGCTCTGGTTTCTTGAGATTCGGATCAAATACACACTGGCCAGGCAACAATGCTCTAGTTTCTTGAGATTCAGGTCGAGTACACACTCTGGCCAGGCAACTATGCTCTAGTTGAATAACTGCGAAAACCCTGGTTGGGTGGATTCCGCTAGGCGCTCCAGAATTTTTTGAACAGGAAAAACTGCATCCTTGACGGATACGGCTGTCTTTGAAAGTGAGGAAAAAATATTTGACATCTTGGGTCTCGTCGGCGACCTTATTGAAACAGTGGCACATGTCGTTATCGTTTGAGGGCTCAGAGGACTCTCGGTGGCGATCTTCTCATCCCAGTGGCCCGGCAGGTGTAATTTAGAAACTTTAATGAAAAATTTCGGAACATCGACGATTTTTGATATTGTCTCTTCGCGTTTGAAGGAATGCAGCGCTCGGTAGCATGCTTGTCTCATCATCGTGGATGTCTCTGTGATGATTCTGGTAGTAGCCACTGCAAAGCTTCGTGAAAATTCTTGAAAAGATCGGTGAAGAATTTAGTTTGTGAACTCTTTCTATATGCGGGGTTGTTCTATGTGGTTTATGTTTCCATTTTGCGGCGGCATCTGCGCCATATGGGCTTCTCTTGTAGACATATTGCGCTATTCAAAACAGGCAAATTCTGAATTGCACTCGCTCTGCATACTACGACAGTACCTATAATCACTTATTGTAGTAAATTGAATCTGCATTATTTTTAAATTTAAAAATTGATCTAGGTTCTTTTATAATTTGTTTTCATTTGAGATTCTTAGGATCTCCGTAAGTTCTACTATTTAAACACATATTTGGTTTTTATAAAATAATAAATGCAAAATTACAGTTTTCTCATTGACAGTATAATGTAAAAGCTTATTTGAAATTTCTGTAGTCTCATTTATGCAAAAGGTAAGTGAAATTTTGTTATTGTAATTCATTAATATATGACCATCATAATCGTGACTACATTCAGGTTTAATAAACTAACACAAAACTTTTAGGAAAGTAATTTTACATATATTTTTAATTTTTGCATTTATCATTTAATTAATTAATTGAACTAATATCGAATAGGTATAACAAAAATAATCTCAGCCAACTATCATTCACACTAACGAAGTTTTGATATAAGTATTTTTAACTAAATACAGGTAAGCTAATTGCAAAAATCATCAAAATTATCAACGTTTATACAGGGTGCCCCAGCATAATGTGTACAACGGAAGACCACGGATTCGTACACTCAAAATAGGCAGATCTAGGCTAATTCACCTATATCCGAAATCACTTATAGCTGTTTTACATTGACAATTTATTGAATAAATTGACGAAGTTCCTCATGAATTAATTCACGAATTTATTGGTAAACAGTGTGGTTTTACACTGATACAGATTTTATCAAGTTTTTTTGATGCATGAATCGATTCTACCAACGTATCAAGGAAGCAAATAAATTTCAAAAATGTCACCTTTCCACTCATAATTGTAGTGATACAACAGCGGTACCGTTTTGACACATATTATATAAATATTAGTTTTTGTAAGTAACAAATCAGTAAAAACAATGCAAAACTAGTACGACGCCACACAATTATTTACATATTCCAATAACATAACCTCATTACTGCTCTGAGGCTGGAAATCTGTTGGGTTGGTACTTCCGAACTTCATTTGAAATTGACGAAAATTAGAACATGCTCTAATTCGTCAAGAACTTGATGAATACATTCATGAAGTTATTTGACAGCAGATTTGGTGCATTACACTTGTCCAATTTCTTGATGAAGCGACTTCATGAATTAATTGATCAATAAATTGTCAATGTAAAATAGCTATTAGTTTGGTCGCCAGATCGCCTCAAAGTTCGTGAAAATTTTTAGAATTTTGTAAATAACTCGGGTATGTATTAATCGATTTTAATTATTTTTCGAGTGTGGATTTTTGCTTTCAATCTACACATTTTGGTGTTATACAGAGTGTTTTTTCAAACCTACAGTTCCTACAAAATTGTTGTGTGGTGAGAATATCCATTTATAACTTTTTCCTCTTTTGGGCAATAATGACAAATTATTTTTCAATTTGATAGAAGATACCATTTGGAAGTTTTTGGGACTCTTGTTAATTCAGCGAAGAAAGTTGAAGGACACCCTTTGCAGTTCTTGAGGGCAATTTTTTAAAACATTATGGCATTTTGGATAATTCTTCCACAACTCTTCTTCAGTTAGATGTGGAAGCATACACTGTTGTTTTCAGAGTACCGCAAAGACAATAGTCGCAACGTGTTAAGTCTGGTGAATGTACAGGTCGGTTAATAGAAGCATTATCCCCTTTACCGGGGATACTGCCGGAGATTTGCAATGAAATGTCCTGGAGCTCCACATATTAGCACTGAGTAATAACGGTACACCTTCCAATAACTTGGGTAAAGTGTTTTGCAAAAATTGTAAATAAAATTCCCCATTCAGTTTATTGGGTAGAATAACAGGGCTAATAATAATGCTATCAATGCATTGTATTTGATTGTTTTTTCTAATTATTTCAATAAAATTAGGCACGTTGCAGATAACTAATTCGCTGTATGTGTGTGTATCCATATGGAAAAATGAAGTTAACAGGTGGTATATGTGGTAAACACTCATTAAAAATTGTCAGGTACAATGATTTAAAGATCAGACTGAAATTACAGTCAACCTACAAAATCTATCACTTTGTTAGTTATTATAATATGGGTGGCACAATAATGTATACATTTAAAAAATATATTTTTGTATCACTTATCAGATAAAAAATCGTTGTCATTATTGCCCGGAAGAGGAAAAAGTTATGAACAGATATTAACACCATACATCAATTTTGTAGGAGTTGCAGGTTTTAAAAAACACTCTGTATAACACCAAAATGTGTAGATTGAAAGCAAAAGTCCACACCCCAAAAATAATCAAAATCGATTAATACGTATTAGATTTATTTACAAAATTCAAAAAATTTTCACGAACTTTGAGGCCATCTAGCGGCCAAACGAAGTCATTTCGGATATAGGTGAATTAGCCTAGGTCTGCCTATTTTAGGTCCACAAATCTGTGGTCTTCCATTGTACACGTTATTCTGGAACACCCTGTATATTTAACATCCATACTTATGATTTATTTACCTGCACGCTTTATAAATAACATTTTGATTGGAGGTATAATTAAAAAAATGTGATTTTTAAATATGGGGTATCCTGAAAATAATGGGCTATACTTCAAGTGTAACCTCCTTGGATGAAAATAAACTGATTTGGATCAAGTTAATTCTGTAAAATTTTACTTTTTCAAAAAAAAATTGTTCCCATTTATACGACTGTGCACAATATTTTATTGCAGTTGCTGCTTTTATATTTAATTTTTTTATTTTTAAATCTGTAAATGGTTTATTGATTTCCCAATTTACAATAATCTAAACATAAAATATAAAAATGAAAATGTAGGTACATATTTTCTTATTGTTAGACATCAATTTTGCTTTTGTGTTGATTTACTCCATATGCAAATCTTAATTTTAGCGTTCTATTAAGTATTCTAAGTACATTTAATAAAGATCATGAATACCCTACAATTCAAAAAAAAATTCCAACAAATATCAAAAAATTTGTTAAAGATTTAAAATTTGTTATCAAATGATGGCACCAATCAAAAAGCTCTGACACCATTGTCAGCACTCCCTTTTATAAAGCCACTGTGCCAAGATGAATATAACGAGCATTCAAATAAAACGTGGTTGAAGTTGGCTCTGACACATTGGACGTAGGGAGTACATTATAGCGACCAACTTAACCTCATTTCTCAACGAGCTGTATAGCAGCTGTCAGTTTCAATAATGTTAATGACTATATAACTTTATTTTAAAGAATAATCGTGATAACAATAACAAACAATTAAAGGAGCTGCGGAAAGTGTCCCCCTCCTTGTTCCAAGCACTTTTCACACCTGTTCCTCAAAGAATTAAAGACATTTTCTAAGATGCTCGGGGTATTGTTAATTTCACGAATCTTGTCTATAAGTCGAGCCTGCAGATGGTTT